GTTGGCTCACTTTATCTGTGAATGCCACAGGTTATCTGCATCTCAATCACCCTTTTTGTGCGTCAGCTTTTGTCGAGCACTTCGACAATGGATAGACTTCCTTTTCTTTTTTTTTCTTCTTTTCTGTTTTTACACCAACAGAACGCACGCATCTTACCTCAAGCAGAAATTTTTACAAATAAAACAAAATTGTGGCTGACGTAGCCTTGAGATTCTGGACTTGAGGAGAGAGTGAAACTCGTGAATGGGGCTAGTTCTCTGCCCTTCGCTGCCCGTGGCATCAGGGGACGTCTATCTGGTAAACACCGGAGTCAACTGCGGTCGGTCCGTGATCCGCACGTTTTTGAACGGCATCAAGAAGGGTAGTACACACGGCAAACGTGCGTTTACATTTCTTTGTTTTAACCAACGTTCTAATTATTGGTGCCATGAGTGTCCTGGTGTTTTTTTTTGTTTTGTTTTGTTTTTTCTTACTGCTTATATTTATATATTGAAGACGTTATCTTATTCATCAACCGAGGCTCGACTTGTTCAGAACCAAAGGAAGAAGAGTATTGATCCAAACTTTATTTATTAATTAATTATCACATTACCGTTACAAACTATGTTTTGCTATTGTCTGGCAATATATGACTGATCAATGTGGCGATGCAGGCGAGTTAGTTCATAATTACAACTGGTAGCAGCGCGCAAATACACAAGGACAAAGAGAGGATTGCACAAGACCGGCCCTCGTCTTGTGCATTCCTCCCTTTGTCGACCTTGTGTTTTTGCGCGCTGCTACCAGTTGTAATATATGACGGTATAGTAAGATGTGCATAAATAAATTCTTATTCCAATTGTGGTTAGTTCTATGACGATTTCTACAAAACTTTGGTTTAGGCTAGTTGGTCCATGAAAGGTATAAGGTTTAAAAGCACAAACAGAGTAGCGCCTTGTCCCTATCGTTTGTGTTACTTTCTATTGACCCTGTCTGTTTGCGCTTTTAAACCTTATACGATTTCTACAACTTCGTGATTTCGAGAATAGAGAATTTTAGTAGGTCGTTCCGATGACTCCGATAACGATACCCGATACTTCGCCGCCGCCTTTGCGCGTGTATCATATCGTTATCGGGGGGTATCGAACGATCTACAAAAACTCTCGAATATCAGACAACGGCTGCAACGACGAAGCTTTGCTCTATCTTCGAGGTAAATAGTACTTCCACTGCTTCGCTCAAGAAGCTCTATGCAGAGCATGAGGCATTCGTGAGGCACAGTATGGCATGCCCATCCAGTGCCTCAGTTCAAAGCGTGTTCAGTGTAGCAGTGGACATCTTCAGTAAGAAATGACGCATAATGTCTGACGAGACCTTCGAAAGCCAGCTGTTGCTCAAAATACTCAAGGTGAATAGATGTAATAGGTGGCAACAATAAGAACTTGAATAATCCTCTTCGCTTTGTTTCTTACTTGAAGACAATAATATTGGAAATAACGCCATGAAAGTAACATTAGTTTTAGGGGGGAACGGTCACTTACTTTTATAGGAGGGTAATTTTAATTCTAATTACCTTGTTTTCCGGGCTATAGTCCGCAGGGGCGAATTGGGGGTCGAAAGTAAAAGTTCCTGCTTAGTCCGCACCCGGTGCATGGTCCGCCTGCCGTGCTTAGTCCGGACCTGGTGCTTAGTCGACGCGAAAACCTTCTCATACACGGCGCGATGTCGGCGCAAATTGTCGCCACTTTGGTGAAATGTAGGGCAGGATAAAGCACATTGGCGCGGTTTGGCCTAAATGGTGCGGCGATCATGTCACGATTCTGCCAGCGAATGTTCGTTGATCTGCTTGTTCAGTCACTGTGTGTACGACGATGACGACGCAGACCTCCACATTTAACGCTTCCTGAGTCAACACTTTCTAGATATCAAAGCCAGCGCGCCCAAAACATGACGTCACGGTAGCTAGTCCAGTGATCGGAAAAGCGCAAGTCGGCTGGGTTTAGCAGTGCCAGCACGCTGGCTAGGCGGCCCGTAACTTCGAATAGAAGTGCTTGTGCGATTTTTATTTACGCGTGCATGACGAGGGCTTAGTTGATAGAGACGCAGTTTTAATGCTTTGTTTATTGAATAACAATGAGTCAAAACAATCATACAGTTACCATTCTTGCAGCAAATGTTTTATTGACCTTTTTAAATCGAAGAAAACAGGTCTGCAACCAAAAATATTTTAATTTAAACACCTTCGATGGTTTTTTTCCGTCCTGTCATATCAATAATGGGTTTCCCTGATAATGAAGGGATTTTGAAAGTGCTATGCACATAACTAAACAAAACAGACTTAAAAATTAGCAGCTAATGCCATCTTTTACCAAATTCAGTTAATTTTATCGTGATAATAAACAATTTAAAAACAAATGGCGCAGGAGGCCGCCAACTGCCAGGCCCTGTGCTGACAAGCGAAGTATTTGAAAGGAAAATATCTAGTTTTCGACATCTGAACCTGAATCAACGTGCCAAGCTTACGACAATGACGTTCAGTCAGTATATGTGCGGAACTTCTCGACGTCGGTTGAAAGCCTATACATAACTGGAATCCCACATTTAGTAGTCACTCTAGGAGCTGCGATTGACAGTTCTTCCAAGTAGCGAGGCTGTCCTACTTTCTCGGCGCACTGGTAAACTGCGCAAGGATTACTACCATGCCGTGGACGGCACAAGCCGATACTGCGGCAATGGCGGCTCGGCGACCGCGCACTTGAGGGCCGCCGCAGACCGATCGTCGTCCTTCCAGGCCGGGCTTGCACGTATACTCGGCAAGGGAGACCCGTCGGTGTGCTCCAAGCGTGGAAACAGCACGGTGAAGCGAAATGCAAAGGGCATTCACTTATCACGACCGAGGAAGGCTGATGCAAAGGTTATCGCGAGCATGTTGTAAAACCATGGTTCACTAGAACCCTAAAAAAATTAAAAACGTATTTTCCGCTTAACCAAGCTGACCCTAGTGCACGGGGAAAATACTATGCGGCTGGGGATGCATATTTAACCGCGATCTGCAATGCCAAGTACTCTTTTTTAACGTGGACTAACCAAACATAATGATTAGAAACGCCCGATAATTCTGGGAGGTGATAAACCCTCAGCAAACACATACTGTTGCCATTACCAATGAATGGGGCGAACTTGTGAATGACGCTGAATGTGCAAACGTTTTCATCGGTTTTCACTGCAGAATCGGATATGTCATTTATGATGCTACCTGCTAACACCAAGTGTCCAATGTCTCCCGGCACTTTTTTTGCTGATGTATTGCCTCAGTAAACGATAACATGAAACTGTCATCCTCAGCCGGCATAGACGAAATTTCTAAAAAATACTAAGCACATATCTGCAGCATATCTCTCCTTGTTATCCTCTCGGTCACTTTCAACAGGTAACATACCGGAAGACTGGAAGGTGGGAAAGGTCGTTTCTCTCTACAAATCAGGTAATAAAGGATCCCCATAAAACTGTTGCCCTATCTCTCTAACGAGCGTGCCTTGCAAAATCATGGAACACGTCATTTTCTCTCAAGTCATGCATTTTCTGGACTCTATCAACTTCTTCCATTCTTCGCAGCACGGCTTTCATAAAGGATTCTCCTGTGAAACTCGGTTAGCTCTTTTCCTTCATAATCTGTACATTAACCTTGACTCTAACATACAAAACTGATGCCATTTTTTTTTATTTTTCAAAAGCATTAGACAAAGTACCTCATAAGTGCTCGCCACTAAAACTTGCTCAGTTGAACTTGGACCATGATATCTTAAAATGGATTAAATAATTTCTTAACAACCGCTCCCAATCTGTCCTAGTTAATAATCAAACTTCTAATCTCATACCAGTCACATCGGGTGTCCCCCAAGGGGTGAGTTCTTGGCCTGCTTTTTTTTTTAAATATATACTATTAATAATTAACCACAACATTTATCCTATCATACTCGCATGTTTGCAGGCGACTGCATCATCTACCATTTAATCACTAATATATCAGACCAATCTGAACTCCAAAACGACCTTAACCACATGCTGCAATGGAGCAACCGCTGGCTAATGTCAGTTAACTTTAGTAAATGTAAAGTTATGTCCTTTCAATGCTGCTGCAATCCTCTTTTCTTTCCCTATACCATCACTACCACCCCATAGAATTAACTGAATCATATAAATACTTTGGTGTCAACCATTGCGGTGATCTATCTCAGCATATGCACATTACTAACATTACCTCATCTGCTAACAAAACTCTGGGATTCCTGAAACATCAACTACGCCACGCACCTCAAGAAGTAAGCCTACTCGCATACAAATTACTAATAAGATCAAAACTTGAATATGCATCCACACTCTGGGGCCCTCACCCCGTATACCTCAACACACTCGAAGCAGTCCAAAATCACGCTACTAGATTCATTCATTCTTCATAGTTGTACAACACCAGCGTATCACCCCTGAAAGCTCAATCAGGTTTACTTAACCTCGCTTGTCGTCGCCGCATCGCCACGCTCTGTTTGTTTCACAAGTTATTTAATCCCCCCCCCCCCCCCTATCTCACCTTACATCGTACCTCCCACACGCAGATCGCACCACACCAGTCATCTTCTTCAGGTTGCTCGCCAACGTGCTCGCACTGTCACATTTTCCGCGTCATTCATCCCCCATGCAGCTCCAGACTGGAATGGCCTTCCCCACCACATTGCTGTCATCACTTGCCCATCAACCTTCTTCGAAAATGTTACCGATCGTCTCTCATCCTGAAGACTAGCACCTATGTTAGGTTATTTTTTGTAACCCCACCCCTTATGTAATACTCCCTAAAAGGGGGTCTTTAAAATAATAAAATGAGGTGAGGTGAAATGAAGATTCCCATCATGCATATGAGTGCCAACAGGGTGTGCATGAAGTTCTTCAAGTGATCAATAATCAACTCAAATCCTTACATTTCTTTGCCTCGTGAATGCTAGTTTATGAAAGTACAAACACACCATTGCACCCCTTCATATGCTGCTTTATTACTTCAAAAGAAGCCTTAAAGTCAGCCTTGTGCAAATGTTTGCAATGCTATGTACACACAACTTTCTCTGCCACCACACCTGCTGATGGGAGACAAGGCACAATAAAACCTACAGAACGCCGGCGCTCCTCCTGGCAGCGTTCTTCTGCCTGAAGAACTTCTTGCCAAACTCGTAGGTGCTGATCATGACAGCGCATGCCGGTGCAACCTTGGAGATCCTCGGTACGATCCCAGAAAACAGGCCCTTGACACCGCGACTCTGGTAGAGGTCCCTCATTATGGTGAACGTTGATGTGGACCGCCTCTCTGCATGACAAGGCAGTAAAATTTCAGCTTAGTCTCTTTTCGTGAATGGTTCCTTAAAGCACCTGCACCATGACTTGCTTCAAAAAAGCGGACAACCAAAGAAGAGAAAATTCCACACGAGCTGATGTGCTCTTGCCCATGGCAAGTGTGAGGCTAGGCAGACGTTTACCTTTCACAAATTTCGAGGAAAAAGGTGAAAAAAGAAATCAAAGGAAACCATACATTTTAGCAGAAAATGCATTCAAGAGCTGCGGTCCTCGAGAAAAGTGTGATGGAAAGCCAGAAAAACTATTTCAAAATCTGTAACACATACTTCAGAGGACGATCTATACAAAAGAACACATAATTGCATGCATGTGCGAATAGTGGATTTCAAGGTCGAAGCGAACGTGAAGCGAAGTGTTTTTGGTCAAATATTTTCTAATCGAATCCCCGAATAGTTTCTCCAAGCATTTTCCTACTTCAACATGCATAAACAAAAACCCAGCTGACCTCATGAAGGTTATTCCCAAGTTCCACTTGTCCATCGCTAACTTAAGTTGATTTCATTCTAACCATATTTATGGACTGTGGCTTGAGAAAGTCCAATGCTTACATCGGGATGGCAAATAAACAATGCATTTGACATAAAATTAAACCTATGGAAATGCCCAGCTACATCTAATCGAGGGGATTATAAATCTCCGTGCCATGTGCAAATATACTTTCTTCAATCTCGAATTTGAAAAAAAAAAAAAAAAAAAAAAAGAATCACAAATGACAAACACACGTTGTCAGTGTACCTCTACCTAATATATAATATGCGCCAAGCAACTGAGTGAGAGGAGGAGACAAGAGTGCACAGGGCCATCAGAACGCCGAGCTCTGGTTGGAATGATTAGTGGGTAAACATAAAGCTAGTTGCCTTGGTCTCCACTGCACACATAGAACATGTTCAAATTCGAGCGCCAAACGCTGGACGCCAGTGCTCCACGTTCTAACGCGTTCCGATGAGGGCAATGGCGACAAAGGCAGCAAGCTTTAGGTCTACCCACTAAACATTACAACCAGAGCTCGGCGTTCTAACGTCCCTGCACGCTTTCGTCTCCTCTCCCTCAGTTTCTCGACGCATATCATAATACCAAGAGTAATTTTTAAAATTTTACTGCAATGTAAATATCAACATTCCCAATGTTTCCTCTTAGATAGCTCTTAGCTGGATATCCATGGCATGGATATCCAGCTAGAACTGTCGGTGCTAGGAATGTCATGTCAACGGCGATTTTCACGTCAGAATCGCTGCCAAATTAGTTAAAGTATGATTTTCGCTTGGAAGCGTAATAAAATCTGTTTTTAGCCCAAATGCAGTGTACAGCTTTCCCAATAAACCCACGCACACAGCATCTTTGATGCCATGCACGTCGAAGCACTGTATGTGCGCCATTGCGGGAGGTCTTAACGGCGGTAGCAGTGGCGACATGTCTGTGCCTAGCGGTACCTGGAGTACCTTGTACAGAAGCTCCAGCGCTGCAAAACTCTTTGTGCAAGGAGCCGAGGGTTGAATCACCTACCATAAAATACCGCAGAAGCGCCCACTACTAACATTTCCTAAACTTGAGAATTCTGCAAAGTATACGTTAAGCGCCCACCCTCTCCAAAGCGCCAGCATCAGCTGGAAATATTCACCCTGTTGCGGCAGCCACGAGACAAACAGCGGCAATGAGGGGGATAAGCGCTTTCTTGCAATCGAAAGGGGAAAACTATTTGTGATGAGAACATTGACCTCCTATTCTGCACTGACTCAGAAGTGTCGTTTTCTGGGTTCAGTGACAATGAATAGGTACTAGTTAGTTTATTTTCCCATGATAAATGATGAGGGGGCCCCATCATTCATCATGTGAAAATAAATGTAGTTTCTCTGATTCCGTTTACCCTCCCTACCTTCAAAGCTCTTTATTTACTGCCATCTTGGCTCCTACCGATTTGACTGGACAAGTGCCCATGTCTAGATTAACCGAGTTTTCAGTAAAAGTGGAGTGGGCGCTTCCTCGGTACTTTACGGTAATTGGGTAGTAATGTTGACCAGGTGCCTCCAGTGCAAGCTCCCCGCCGCAATGATGCAGCTTTCACGTAGCCGGCATCAATTTCCTTTCGGTTCACGAGAAATATTCAGTGGATTTCACCGCCCAGATCGAGATATCAAACTGAAGGTTTCCGTCATCGGCATTGACGAGGCCTCGCCGCCTCGCTTGGCATCGCCATTTTTTGGCGCGCAGCTGGTCACAGGGCCCTGCACGCATGCGCAGGTGCTGCGCTTCCTCGCATTCCGTTGGTCTAACGTATGCCATTGTAAGAGTTCACGAGGAGTAGTCGAACCGAGCCCAACTCTTTTCGGGACATTATGACGAGCCTTGTGTCGCTTGGTTGCCGTGGAAACTTGCCATTCATCTCGTCATAAGCAGACGCGAGCGCCCGTAACGTGACGCAAGGAGACGGGGCTGTGTGAACGGGCCCAAAGGGTATAACTTGTGACATTGTCACGAAAAGAAGTCCTACTGTTTCAAGGTGCGTTGTGTACTGATGGCAATCAGGGGAAGTCATCCCCAGTCTACTTACCCTTCATAAGTTCCATTTCACCCAGCTCAATCTGCTTGTGGGTCTTGACAACATCAAATGGAAGCGTGACGACTGCAGAAATCTGGAGAGGAGAGAACAAGGCGAGACGACTGAGCCGCAGCACTTGAATCTGGTTGTGTACGTGAGAAGACAAAAGAAGTTATTTCTCCACTGTGCAACCCACTCATAGAAAGCTCTACAATTTTGCCGGATGCGTTGATTAGAACATCTCCAATTTGTTTTATGTAAAAGAGAATTTACAAGTGTTTTGTTTCCCTTAGACTTCAATGATTTGCCTGGACAAGTTTGTCATAACTATGACATATACTTTTTTAACTTGGTCTGCACTGTGTATATATACTTTTACCTTTGTAACCTTAAAGGGGCTATAAAGTGAATACTAAGACTCTTGTTATATGATAACAACTCAGTTTGTGCAAATTCAAATCTAAAACTGAAAAAAAAAAAAAATTATACCAGGCTTTTTTTTTTTATTAAAAATGCAATAAAACATTGCAGCTGTAGCTTTGTACCTGTTTATAACACAGAGATGAATTCTTCAAGAATCAACCAAACACACGTTTATTGTATGTTGGATGGATGAGTGGATGGATGGATGTTAATGGCTATACCCTTAGGCTTGGACATAGGCGGTAGCTTGTGCCACCTAGCCTATGTCTAAAAAGACAAGCCATCTTGAACTTTTCCTTTGGTTGACAGACCTCTTGGGTAGAATTGCTAGAACACTACATTTATCCCCCCTGAAAAAATTAACGACCAAGCTTAGAGAGCTGTCTATGCTGAAAAGTATGAGAGATAATAAGGTGCTCGGTGAACATGTGACGGGTACCAGCGCAGTGTACTTGGTGGTTGAGTTTTTGACAGGACAGCGGGAACACGACATGGAGGGCACTGGCCGCCAAGGTCCTATTGAGGAGGTTCCACGTCTTCGACATCCGGTTCCTATTTTCTGGGCGTACAGTCAAACCCGGTTATAACGAACAGCAGGAAACACAACAATCAATTCGATATAGCAAGTACCTAGTTCAATATTACAAAAACCATTTACAACGAACTTCCACAATGCGTTCGTTGTAAGGCGAGAGCCTTCTCTTTCTTTGTCATCTCTTCGCTTCCACCATGTAACAACGCGCTAAAAGTTTCTTGTTGCTTTTTTCCGTGCGTTCCAAGTTTGTTTTTCAGCTTATCTCTTCTTCTGTATCGCTTCTCTTCGTGGGCAACCGTTTTGGGATGAAAAGTTTTTTTTTTTTGTGCGTTCGTGCAGAGTGTATTTTTTAGTTTTCTCCCCCTTCTGAATCGCTTCCTTTTGCTCAAATTTGTTCGCATCTTAAGCTTTTGAAATTTTCTTTCTTTCCCACTTTTTTTTATTTTTTTGCGGGGGGGGGGGGGGGGGGGGACAAGCTAGAAGATGGCAGTTTGTGCGTTTTTAAAGCCTTCCCGGGGAGCACAAGTTCGATATGGCCAATATGTTGTTCGTTATAAAAAGTACTTTTTACATGAATTTTTACTGAAATTTTCTGTGCATTCAATATCGACAATAATTCGCTGTACGTGGGTTTGTTCTAAGCCGGTTTCACTGTAATGACCACTCACGATGCGTTTTTAAAAAACTGGCTTTTTGCTTGACGACCTTTTCGTCTCAAGAGGCCCTAATACAGAATTCGTGAACTAAGATGACAGTCAAGGGGCTCCGTCGTAGAATGGGGTAAAACTGTGTTGCTGTTGCTGCTTGCACAGCACTAGTTGACCTGGCCCGAAGTTGTGACTTCTTGTGCGATGTCGCTTCTCAACATATGCCTTGTTATATCTCTTCCTCGCTGCATTGGTTTGTCATGCCTCGATGTGGGTGTTGTCTGTTGCCAGAGTTGGGAAGTGCAGGTAGCAAGTTGCATGCTTTCCAGTTAACAGGAGCTCGAACGGTGATGCGTTTGTGGATCTATGCGGGGTCAAACGATACGCTAAGAGGAAGGCGTGGAGATCCCTTGTCCGGTCTTTGCTGTTTATTCTGCTTGTGATAATGAGTTTCTTGAGTGTCCTCATGAATCTCTAAACCTTGTGGGAGCCACTGGTTTCCCTCCCCCGGGAGGGCGTAAGCCGAGGCCATCCCGGGCGAAGCCGTCTGACTTTGAGCCCGGTCGCTCCGTATCGTGTCGGAGAGACTACGTCACCATGCTGACCTACTTTCTCGCACTCCTCCGCGCGTCTCCCAGATTTCGGGGGAACAGCGACATCGCGCGAGAAAAAGTGGGGCCTGCCCTCCGAGTGGACGGCCGTGTGGTCGAGGAGTCCTGTATTGGACTCTGGGGAACGGGTCGAGTCGCGGCGCGAGCTTGTCCGACTGGCGATGACTCCACGCTAGTGATTCCCCGGGCTCTGACAGTCGGCGTCCCCACTACCTGTAGACGTCCGTCTGCCAAGAGCCCTGGCCCCGAACTCCTGCAACGACGGGTAGCGGCGTGAGCTCGCCCGACCGGCGATGACTCCGCTTGCAATTACCCCTTTGGCTCTCAGGTCGGCGAGCGATGCGGGCACACTGTGCCCGCGGCGGCTCGCTTGACCGCAGTGTCTTGTTGGGGACCCCTGGTACTCAATAAACGCTGTTGGATACCGGGATCATCTTTGTTAGCATGGCGTTGGCCGAACCCGGCGCGGCGACCGCCCTCGCTGGTAGCCGTCGGCCGCGCGGTGGGACGGGTAGCGGATTTCCCCTTTGAGCACTGGTATGTGAAAGGTATGTGATCGGCCCTCCTTTTAATTCCCACAACCTCTCCATTCGCTTCAGGCCGTCTTGATGTAATGCGGTGGTATCTAACTAAACCCGAACTGTAGAAGCGTAGAAATCTGGGCGAATTGGTGATGCGTCGGAATGAGAATGCAGTGCGAACAAACGAATGAGAGTGAGAATGCGGTGCGAACAACCAGTAGAAGAGTATACACACAGAAAAGGCACTGACTTAAAACTGAAACTTAATTGGAAAAACATGAAGGCCGCAAAACAACCAGAACAATCCACTACACCCTTGTTCCCATTGGCCGAGATATTCCGTCTTGTTTTTATAGGGGGCCACAGGGGGGGCACTGACACACATGCCCTCCCTACATTGTGATATATAAAATGCTTCCGTTACCTCCCTCATCCTTTTGTTGTTGTGTCGCATCATTATTGTTATCTCCATCGTTTGTTTGTACTGTATTCTCGTTCCTAAACCCGAGTTCTTCGGCAAACATTGAAAGGTCTCGGCTCTGAAATGGAAGACAGTTGTCGGTTTTTAGGGCAGCAGGGATGACGAATTGGGTGAAGATTGCATGCAGCTTGCGGATGACTTCTGTAGCTGTGAGTGTTGGAAGGATGTTTACCACTGGGTACTTCGAATAGTCGTCCATGACGACCATGACACATTTGCCATCGGGGAACGGTCTGGCAAAGTCCATTGACACTTCGGTCCAGGGAGCTTCAGGCAGTCCCAGCACAGGCAGGGGATCACGGTGGTGCACAGCTGTTGCGGCCTCGCAGGCTATGCATTTCCTAATCATTTAGTCTACAAGCACATCCACCCAGGAAACCAGACCTTGCTTCGCAGCAATATTATAGCTTTGACAATCCCCTGATGTCCTTTGTGCGCAAGGTGGACTGCTGTGCATTGCAGGCTGGCTGGTAGGACGATGGATGTCCCTCACAGAATTAATCCTCCCTTAGACGGAGTGAGTTCGCTTGATACACGCGAGAAGGGACGGAGGTGTTCATCCTTCTACACACGTTTGTCGGGCTGGTGTTATCGTAGAAGTGTCGTCAACTTGGTTTGCTGTGGATCTGCTGCAGTTTTTTTAGCAATCTGCTCCAAGGTCATACCATATGGGAGACTTTGTTGTACCAAGTAGTTTACATACTCTTCGGGCACTCTGGCGAGGTTGCGGAGCTTGTCCTTGTTTGTAGGAGAACACTGAGGTGGGTGTCAGAACCAGTAGTAACTGGGATTAGTGGGCCCTTTGGTGTGTTTGATGATGTAGCTGTAAGGCTGAAGTCGAAGAGCCATGCGCTCAATTCTGATGGGGACGAACGTGAGCTTGACAGGGTGTTTACGAACGGTTTGTTGTCAGTGAACACTTGAAAGTTGGTGCCATACAGGTAGATGTGGAAGTGTTCAAAGCCCCATACCACAGCCAACATATCTCGCTCTCTTTGCGAGTATCGAGCTTCCACAGCCGTCAAAGGCACGGCTTCCATATGCAACCACCTTGACTCATCTCTTGATGACTGGGCAAGGACAGCACCCAGACCATGTCTTGCAACATCAACAATGAGCTCTGTGATTTTCTGAGGGTCGAAGTACGCCAGAGTGTGGGCATCCGAGATTTTGTCGTCTAGTTCTTCAAAAGCTCGGTGCTCGACGCTGGTCCAAGACCACTGGTTTCCTTTAACGGTCAGCTGTTGCGGGGATTGTGTTATGTTTGCAAGGTTGGGAAGGAAATGTCCGCAATAGTTGAACAAGCCTAGGATACTTCGTAACGCGCTGGCATTTGTTGGCAAGGCAGCATTCTGGAGCGCTGACACCTCATCGGGTTTGGTCGTACATCGGCACCAGAAAAGACAAGTCCGAAAAAAGTAAGCTCCCTCTGGAAGAAGCTGCACTTCTTGGGATTGAGCATTACTGTTGAGACCGGTTCTAACAAAATAGCGGCTACAGCGAAGCGATCATGATTTCCCAATCCCTTTTGCGCTTCATAATAACTGAACTCGGTTATAACGAAATAGCGGATATAGCGAAGTGATCTCCAATTCCCGTTGACTTCGTTATAACCGGTCTCGAAAGTAGTCCGCACATGCTTAGGCATTCAAGCATTGCTTCCAGAGCCTTGTAATGCACTTCCTTCGTCACACCGAAAACTAGGATGTTGTCACTTACATTAAGCACGCTGGAAATGCTGCCAATGACCTGTCATATGGTGTGTTGAAACACCTCTGCAGCCGAGTTAATGATAAAGTTCAGGCGCTTGTACCTGAAGAGTCCAGCATGAGTTGAAAGGCCGCGATCGAACAGGAGTCTTCGTGCAACTCGAGCT